TAATACAGTATAGTACCTCTATCTAATAGAGCCAAGAGTGTAATGTGGGAAACATCCCATTGCTGTACTGTACTACACAATGTACTGGTAGGTTTGAGTTTCAACTCAAACTCAATTGTAGAGATAATTTCATGTTTATGTATAAGGTCTGTTCTTAATTACAGAATGGTTTAGAAGGTACAGACATGACTTACGAAGAACTATTTTCTAAGATGATTGTGTACTTAACAGAGAAAACATCCCAGTAAGTCTACATTAGGATATTGATTAACCTCTTTTGAATTAGTTTTCATTTGGAATTATTATACTATCGTTGAACTAAAATTGTATTTTTGGTAACATTTTATTTGAAACCTTTGTGAAGTGCTGTAATAAGTAAAATAAATTATGATATTCAGAAGTTTCTTGCCAATAGTAAAAAATTACCGAATATTTCCTTAAATTCAGATTTGATTAAGTTATTAGCATTTAGAAGTCATCAAGTTACTGAATTGCATGAAGGAGTTCTTATTCGACTATTGAAGCAAAATCAATATTCAATGTGTAGCATTTTTCTGTGCCTGATATGATGTATTTGGGACTATTTTATTTCTTGCTTCAGAATACATACTTTTGTAATGATGTTATATCTGGTCACAAGTGTAATGATAGTTAAAATGTAGTGCCATTGGTGTAGCTCAAAATGGGCAGCAAATGAGATTAGCGAGGAAAGCGAGTGTCAGCACCATAAGTCACATGTAGTCACATTTGGCAGCACATGAAATTAACGTGAATTATTTTCTGTATAGCCAATAGGGCCATAACGTTATAGCAAAACATTTTATTGATGTTGCATTCTAATCAAATGAATACTCAACTAGGTTAGTTGAGTATGCAACCAAAGCAGAATTCAAAGCAGCAATGCATGATTGGATTTATTATAGTGAAGACTCTAATTAATTAGTTATCTGTTAACTTACAGATCATCCACACATCTGATAATTGTGCCATCACAGCGGGATATTCATCATGAGTATGTTTATCCACAACCACCGTATACAGTACATGATTTACCGAAACAAGAGGTATGACATCATTTATACTGTGTTGCCTCTTTTATCAGTATATGTGTATGTTACACATGGGATATCATTTGTATCGTCATTCACTGAATAATGCATGGCAGATATGTGATAGTTGTATCTGCAAAGACTAGTAGGGGAGGTGTGATAATACCTATTGCTGATAGCACTGTATATTGAATGATTTTGTCTGCAGAGCCCTGGTAGCAACTTTGAGTGAACACTGACTCCTGTGTGCGTGTGTGCTCATCATGTTATTTGTTTTCAGTTCAATAGAGTGCATTTTGTATCTGATCCATGTACATTATCCATCAATGGCGTTATCTTTGGTATCACAGCAACGGATATTCTCTTTCATCTTGGTGGTGAAGAAATATCATGGTAAGTTATCATGAATAATTATGAACAATATGTTAATGGTATTATAACACACTTATAGCCATTCTGAGAGTTATTCGGACAGTCATTTAGCAATATATGTTGGAACTTTGCAAAACACTTGGGTCTTTTCCAATCTAGACTTGATGGCGCCGTTGTATTGGCACGCCCACAATTGGAATCATTCCATTATCTTGCAAGATGCGGGTAAAACGCTGTTTTCAAAACGACACGCGTTGGTTACCATATATTAACAGGTTATATGTTGTATATGCATTTTAAGTGTTATTTTAAATTGTTATAACCATCTGAGTCCACCTGACATAGCGTAATTTACAAAACAACTCCCGAGTGTTGAGTAACCCCAGGTATTAATGAATTTGTCATTGGCGAGAAGGCTCAAAGTAAAGATTCTTAGCGGGACACGCTGCAGTTTCGCGACAGTTTTGAGCCAAACTAAAAGTTGTTTTTACATTACTGGTGCTTTGAGTACGTCAGGAATACACAGACGGAAAACTTGATTATAATGGTTTGATGGATTTTGTCAAATCAAAAGTGCCTTCCTTGATCAAATCACTTTTTCAACTGCAGTTTGAAAATGACCGGGTATAACGACCGTTATTATGTCTAGTCCATTTTGTAACACTGACTAAAATGAACTAGGGGTTGACATTTTTCGACAGATTTAAGCAACATCTAACTTGCGATTTTCAAAATTACTGAAAATAATTACAATATAATTATAAAAAATAAAGAATGGTTGCTGTGAACGCACGCTAGATAATACTTACAATTCACCAAGCCAACAACCCCTATGAAATAGTAATCCCAAACCATGTGCCCGTCACTCAAGTGTCTAGATTGGGCAAAGACCAAAGTGTTTTGCAAAGTTGCAAGTCATTTTGCTAACTGACTGTCCGAATAATTCTCAGAACGGCTGTAAATCTACTACCGGTAGTTTCAGTTTGTAGATATGTGTATCTGGTGCCCAAACAAGTGCAAATGATGTGCTTAACCACTATATTTTTACAAAATCAAATTCGATGGCAGAAAATTCAAATGTTATGCTATTGAATGAATTAATGAATGAATATATTGCTTATTTGTATTACAGGCCTGTCACTGGATCTGACAGATTGGCCAGATTATGCAAGCATATTCTAACACAGCATAACTACTATCCACTGTACCCACCAGCTGATGAAGTCAACATTGACTATGAGTATTTCGATCACTATGCAAAGATGCAAGTTACACCTGATGTGTTGATATTGCCTTCAGATCTTAGATTCTTTATTAAGGTAAGTTTGATAATAGGGGAAATTGATTTATATGAAAATTTGTCAAGATGAGGAAACGTCAAGGAAATCGATAAAACAAAAGTATGTGAATGACTGGGCAATTTAAATGCACAAGTCTGGCAATGTTGGTCACTATTGTCTGGCATTATTGTTGTAGTAGAGGCTGCTGCTTCTGCTAAGTTATAATCAACAAACAAACAGACATAACATACATGTATATATAAATATATATATATATATATATATATATATATATATATATATATATATATATATATATATATATATATATATATATAGAGGTATATAACCAGAAAACGTTTTTGACATCCAATTCTCTTGTTGAATACTGTTGGTCATTGTTGAGGTTTTTGTAATATACACAATTCATTCTCAGTAGTCAGCATACCATCATTGACTTCTGCAGTTGGCATACAATCATTGTCTTCAAATAATATATCTGCTGCGAAGGCTGATTTGGCTACTTGGTTTGACTTCATTTAATTGAAAACCATGTTTTCATTCTTATTTATTATTATAGGATGTATCTGGATGTGTTTGCATCAATCCTGGACGATTAACTAAAGGTCAAATAGGAGGCACCTATGGAAGATTATTGATCAAACCCAAAGTAGCTAACAATGGAGTAGTACAACAAACAGCTGCAGAAATTATTAAATTGTAAAACATAAATTATGAACATTTTTACTAGACATTTTTTTTCTCCCTGTCCAAATTCTTCTATATTTTTTTCCATATACTCATAGTAGATTCCCATAGGCTCTGTATGTATACATTTATTTATCAAACTATGTAACAATATCCATTGATACCTGAAAATAAATAATATTAACTGGATGCACATGTGTCATTTTCTGTTGTTGATTTTAGTGCTGCAGCATGACTGTTAAAAGTGCTGTGATATGAATGTTATAGCAAAGTGATAGAATTAGCATTGAATTTTAATTATTACCCAATAATGAGTGAGTTATTCAACATAGCTGGTAATCTTGATAACTAATGCTGATTGCTGCAGCATGAATGATAGTCCAATATTAACCCATGCCAAGTGCTGCATCATGAATGTAATCATAAACCTTAAGGTCTATGATGCAATCAATTATTAACAAATTATTTTTGAGCATGAATGTTACTTCATTATTAATTTTTGATAACTAATGCTGAGTGCTGTAGCGTGAATTTTAATTCGTTATTAACAAATTCAAGCGAGGAAATCAGTATGAGTGTTATATCATTATTAACCATTGATAAGTGAGTGAATTGACATAGCTGTATATAATCCATTTGTAACCAATGCAAAGTGAGACAATTAGCATGATTATCAATGCTGAGTTAGTGAATCATCATGGCTATTAATCCATTATAAACCAATTCTGAGTTGTGCAGCATGAACGTGTAGTGTATTACCAAAGCTACTCTGAGTGCAGAAATTCACCAATTTTAGGCGAGTGGTGGATCACAAATGTTAATCAATTATTAACCAGAGCTGCACACTAACGTTGGTCCATTAGTACCCATGCTCGATGAGTGCTTGGTGTAGCATAATCTATCATACTATACCAGTAATGAATGATGCATGAAATATAATCCACATCATTAGCCAATGTGCTACAGCATGAATGTTTATTCAGTATTACCTCAAAGAGTGTTGGGGTTGGTTGGTTGGTTGTTTGTTGAATTGTCTGTTAGCAGGATAACTACATAAATAATAGACCTTTTGTGGTTTTCTTTGTCGCATGGTATCTTTGTTTGAATAAGTCATAATTATTTGTCATCCTTGTTTGTAATTGGTTGTTACAAAACACCTAAATATTCCTCTTAGTATGCATTTAACACAACACCAAGTGTTTGCAGGTAAATGTTAAACTTGTATTACCATAAACTCTTGGAAATGTGAAGATTTTTACAAATTAAGGTATTCAAATGTGTTCTGTTGACTGTTATGCACAAACTTCAAACAAGCTATTTTTGTTTTAAGCCTGTGGTGTTACTGGTTTCACCTCAAACAACATATTGCACACGCGTTAAACCCGCAAATTTCTGTGGATGCAGTAAATATTTAAACCCATTAAATTTTGGTACATTGATGGGATATAACCCAACAAATTACAGGTGGATTTTCATTAAATTTTCAGGAAAGGTTGCCTTTTATCAGTCGATTAAATGTTGATAGAGATGTGGATTCTGTCACCATGGAAGCAATAATTTCGGAAATAATTTTTTTTAACCAATTTTTTTTTTAGTATTTTTTTATTAAGTATTACCGGTAATTGTTTTGTCTGTGAAATCTATTTTATGTTTTGTTTTTATCTTACACTACCTTCAAATAGTACTTGTTGAGTAATAATATTATTAGTATTAAATAATGGTGTGTAATATGTCATGAATGTTAATGCATTTTTACCCATAAGTGAGTGCTGCATTTTCGTCTTTTTTTTTCTGTTTCTTTCCATTTCGTTTTGCTATTGGTTCTTTCAATTCCTAGCCATTGTAATTGATTAATTTTTATTCGTAATTGTCTTTTTGTAACTTTTAACCTCCTCTAGTAGGTTGTTATGAGTTAATAAATAACTAATTAAAACTAGCTGCATCTTGAATTTTAATTCATTGTTATTTATAATAACAATATCGAAACATTGCGGTGCGACAGTTTCACAACAGCCGTTCGCCACGCCCACAATATCAACATAACCAGCATAAGGGGCTTTATGTTGACTTCGTATTCAGTGAGCTAAGGGCTCTGGTACTACAGACGCTATTGTGTCACTAGGTTCTCCGGGGGTGTAACTCTATTCTGACTATTTAACCAACTTTGTGTTTTAAATGAAAGTTACTACATAATTATTCTATGAAATTGTACGTAATTTGATAAATGCGACTCTATTTTAGAAAACGTGTACGATATACATGGTTCAATTCATAGTTACGAAAACTAGTTGCAAACCACAGTGACACAGTATCCAAGATGGACGACGCCGACCTCGTCGAGCTGAAAGTGTCTCCCGGAAAATTGACACCTAAATTTAATAAAAACGTAACGGAATATAGTATAACGCTTGCCAGCGATGTTCCAAAGATTACATTTCAGTGTATGACCAGTGATACTGGCGCATCCTACCAAATAGTGGTAAGTCATTTCGAAATGTTTACGTGCTAGTTGCCCCGGGGCTGGTTGCAACTGTTGAAGTTTGTGTACCCTAGATCATGGAGGGTTCGTGTCACTGCTCCAAAATAGGCTATACCTGGAACCGGGCAAATGATTTACACTAGAACAGTTTGATTGAAATGTTGGAATGCTTGATTTCTTTTATTTCCTGTGGTGGATTTAATCTAATTGAAATAATATACACCTTTTTAATTTTGATTAATAATAATGTTTTTAATAATAATAATTTAATATTTTCGTTTATAAATGAAATTTAGATAGATCCCATTGTTTCCATGCCAATTTTGTGAACTTGAAACCCAGTGAAATTTCTCAAAACATCAAAATATTGAAATTAAATGCCATTGAAAATAATATACAGTTATTCATTTATAAAAAAAAACACGTGACCACGAAACCATTCATATTGTCAGTATAGTATTGAACAATAAAAAAACACATGACTCATTAACTGTTTATAATGACTTTTGAGCATGCTAAATTGAGCTATATTCATTGTATTTTAATAAAAAATATAATGCTATAAGGTTATTACGAAGATACCTAGTATGCACGAAGACAGTACACCATCACATTGGCCTCTGCTTCACATCAGTCAATATCTTCATGCATACTTTGACCACTGTAATGTATAAAAGTGGGAGGGGGGGTCAGGGGGTAGAGTTTGTGATTTGTCTACACAGTTTCATTATTCAAAGGCGGTAGCCACGTTCGATATTGGTTCCATAGCAACAACATGACATGCACATTATTTTTACACCTAAAATTCTAACGCCCGTTGCAATGTCACAAAGTGAGACAGAAATTTAACAATTGGACTTGTTTACAGGGAAGTGGCGGAAGCAAGACCATTCAGCTGACTGAGGGAGAAGTTAATGTCATCAAAATAGAAGTAACTGCAGAAGATGGCGGTACAACAAAATTCTACCAAATTAATGCCAAAAGACTATCAGCTAAAGATGCCTCATTGATGGGGTTACAGCTGTCCAATGGTGAATTAATTCCAGAATTTGAAGCTGACACTGTGACCTATACGTGTAAGGATACTGATATCAACATAGTAACATATATTCTCTGAATAAATGTGCAACCAGTATTGGAAACAAAATATATGGCAGTTGTCAATATCACACTGGTTTCTGGGAAGAATGCTAGGAAATTACTTAATACTGTTACTAAATTTATTTTTACATTTATTTACAAAATATGTATCTTACTTAAGTGGTTATTTTAAAGTGACCCAGCCAAGTCCTCCAGTAACTGATTCCTTGATTACTTTTCCATGAATAAATTTTTTTCCAAACTGACACATTTTGAGCACAAAAGTTTTTGACACCATTCATAAAGCATATTGAGATCAAACAAGATGTTAGGCATGGCAATGAAGGCATTACCATGGCAATACAAGGGTTGACGAAGAGTCATTGAGGTAAATACTCATACAACATTGTTATTCATTGTTTTCAACAGGCTCTGTACCCTTCACACAAAGTAATATAACTGTGAAACCAGCAGCACCTGATAAGAAGACGTTAGTCAATGTTAATGGTGGTGATGTAGCTATACCTGTGCCATTGAATATTGGAGAGACATCTATCGATGTTACTGTTACATCAGCTGATGGCTCAAATACAAAGGTCTTTATACAAATGTTGATTTCCTTAAGTTTTTTTTTTTTTTATGCTATCCTATGATTACAACATTTTTCTGTGTAATGGATAAGTTGGTGTTTTATGACATCTTCTTTTCTGTCATTGTTAAAACAAAATGAAATTAAATTGGTTGCATAAAAAACTATGGGATTAGGTGACATAAGTTGGAATGCATACATGAATTATGACCATAGTGTCCCCGTCATATACATACCTGTAAATTAGAAGTGCAAGATAGACGCTCATTTACTCCAAAAACATGTCATTTTAGTTGTGTTTAAATTGTGTTTGTTTGTTTGTTTGTTGTGTTTAAATTATGATATTCTTTATAATGTTACAGGTGTACAGTGTTATCGTTAGCAGAAAACGCTTGAGTAGAGCTGTACGATTTGTTGATTCCAAGTTATCAATGAAATATGAATGTCCAATATGCCTTGGTGCTTTGTATTGTCCAACTAGCATTAAAGGATCTGATCCAAAACATACGTTTTGTTTGCCATGCATCAATGAACTAACAAGGACATCTAAGTTTGATCCATTGGACGAATCACCTCTAGAATTAGATTGGAAAATATCAGAGTGTGGATTGGATAAAGAAATGTCATCATCTTTGGTGCATAGTATCTATGCATATGCTGGTAAATAGCTTCATTTCATCTCAGTTTGATTTATAGATAGTGTTTTGCCAACACTAGAATGAGGAATTTGCTCTATTACCTTCATATAATCTTTTTCATCAAAATTACATTGGTTTTTCACTCCTTTACAGGTGCAGAGGAAAAAATGAAATTCTCTGAACTTGGTACACATATTAAAGAAAGTAGTCACAAACCAAAAGACTTGGAGGTAATGATTTTCATTTTATTTGTGAATTTTTTACTGAGCTGTAGTCATGTTGATTTCAGTCCACAAAGTCTAGAGTAATTCAAATTCAATGATCTCTGATTTTTGATCATATCAACGTTGATTCTAAAATATTATACTGAAAATATGTATTGAGTATGCAAATTAGCTCATTAGTATGCACAGATGCATATTAATTCCAAACTATTTTCACAAGCACTACAAAATTTCAATTCATTCGAGAAAACTTCTTTAACTTTATGACATTACTTTTTATTTGTGTTTTGCACACGCACACAATTGGATATTAATTTTTTAATATCTCATTATCATTCTCTAATCTCTCTGTCTTGAAGGAGAATGCAGAATCCTGTTCTGATTGCAGCAGAAAGGTCGCCAAAGGTGAAATGGAATGGCATAAAGCTAAACTTTGTACAAGTAAAAACACTAGCCGAGATACTAAACACAGTGTACAGGTAAGAATATGAATAAATTGCTAAATTAATTGCACATTAAATTCAGATATGCTTTACAAGGTACATGGGTAACTAGCTCAGATTTGGTAAATACTGTGGTATTAAATCCCTTTCTTCACTATGTGATGTTTTTGTATAGGTACGTAGTTGGGAGAAACGACTGCAGCAAGTACTAGATGAAAGTAATATCGATAAGTTAGTCAAGAATTCTCAAGATCAACTGAAAGCGTATAAAGAAAATCTGCCAAGACACGGTAAGCAAGTCGGTTAATTATTCTAATTTATCAATTCTGTCAGTGTACATTTATTTTCATAAAGTTTATAATGCTGTTTTAAAACATTGTAATGATGTACATTGCAGGTCAAGCTGGTTCTTATAGTGAAGGTCATTCACCCCTTGATGCCCTGGCAACAGCATCTCATAATATAGCTAGTGCCATTAAAATAAAGAGTAAGCAGGCTGATCTACATTATCAGTTGGGATTGATATTGGAAGAACAGTACTATGCATCAGATATGTATGGATTGAAAAAAGAATCTGATGTAAGTTAACATCTGTTGATGTGTCAATGTAAATGTTTTCATTTACTTTTTGTGTGGTGAACATGTTATACATTAGTGTGTTTTATTATAAAAACATTGTTGAAAAATGTAAAATAATTTTTAAACATTTTTTACTGAACCCTGCAATGTCCTGTTCTTTTGACAATTTGTACTAGTGACATGCTACTTTAAAAA